TACCTTTAGAAGGGGCCAGAATATGGGGTGCAAATCTTATAGAAGTAATAACAGAGCAGATCCACCAGTTTTTCAGATGGAAGGACACAGAGAACAAAACAGAGAAAGAGCAAGAGAGAAGGAAAGATTTTCTAAATCTTAAGTAGAAAACATTTTCTTTCTTTGTGGCAGAGTGAGTAAGACAATGTACAGAATCATTCTTTCTATTACAGGCTTTGGGCCAGAAGACTAACCAAACTACATCAAAGAAAATAAAATTAGATAAGGCCAAGTTTCGACTGGCTAACACCAACAAACTTGACTGTCAAGAATTGTGTGAGTCACAGGCGACAGGATTCTGTACAGTAACTAATAAACTTCAATAGTGTTTGTGAAGAGAGGACTGCTTTCTTTGTAAACTCATAGGATACCAGTCAGGGTGTTAAGCAAATTCTTTCACTCTAACCAGCAAGGCCAAATATTATTGTCCCCTTGAAATAAAAGTTGTATATCACTTTTAGTAATATGTTGAAAACAAGAACACGTTTGAAATTAGGAAGTTGTAGTGACAGTGAAACCAGAAATGAAAATAGTATTCCCTAATAATCCCATTTTTAATGGGATTTTCCTGGGAGTTTTCCAGATAATTAAATTACCAACTTTCTCAGAACTTCTAGTTTTCTAGGAATTACACTTAGCTTACTGAAACTACAAATCTTAGAAATGTGAACTTTAGAACAGTGAAAATAATTTAAAAATGGAAGAAAAAAGTATAGAGTTTTCTCCCCCTTGGAAATCCTTTGGATATTAATGAAAGAATAGTTATTAGAACAAGAACCAGGATCAATCATGTCACATTCATCTAGTGACTGTCAATCTGCATTAAAGATGTCTCCAATATAGTTTGTTATCTTGAATGTTGACTCAGCATTTATATGTAGTCCTGATCCCAAATCAATTTTGTTAAAGCAGAATTGATTTTGGATTTGCCTTTATATAAAAGAAACATGAGATTAGTTTCAGTGAATAATCCTGCTTTTCCACATGTCATTCTGAGCTGAAGGCAGGTCTTTTATTTAAACCATGCCAAATCTTAAACTAGTCAATGTTTAATTTTTAAGGGTTTACTTTAACCAAAGTTGAAAATGAGTTTTTATTCTTTTCTCTTTTTAAAGGTATGTTTGTCTGGTTACATAATACCTAACAGCAAAAATTAGCTATGAAATTTCTCAGGCAAAGATTTAATTTATTTCAGCTTTCTTTTTTTCAACCTCTAATTCTCCATTCAGGATTATGCCTGAAGACATTCAGATTTACACTGTGCATTCAGTCCTACCATTCTTTAATATCCAAGTAACACAATGTACAAAGTTAAAATGATACATTGGAAGAAATGGAACATATGTAACAAAGACAATTAATAAAGCAGCAAAAAAGAATGAAAACATTAACTGAAAATTAGAAAAAGGGACTAAACAGAAAATTCACTAGAGAAATAGTAACTATAGCTAAAGTGTTGATCTCTTATTATGGGACAGAAGCTGTGCTAATCACTTAATCTGAATTGTCTCATGTAATCCTCAAATAAATTATTAGTAGTATTAGTAATAATACACGATACATTATTGATATCATCATCATTGTAAATCATAATAGAATAAATAATATGAATGTAAATATTTTTTGAGGATCCAAATTTGAAAAGAAACAGAAATATTTTAAAATAAGGTTTTATTTGCTGCCCACGACCAATTGACAAAACGCAAAAGTAATCAAACCTCATTTAGAGATAAATTTCACATAAGAGGAAAATATCCCTTCATAGTTATTGTTTCTGGAAATATGCAAATTTTTTGAAGTCTAATTTGAATAAGTTGTAAAAGATGGACAGAGAGTGTGTATATAACACTCATAAAATATTGCCAAAGCAAGGGACTATATTCGGAGGCAAAACATAGTATCCATGAAAAGCTGAGATATTTACATATTTTTAACATGAAAAATATGAAACTTGAGATATCCTCTACTCAGTAGAATCTTCCCTGAGCTTACCAGGAATGTCATTATCTATACTGAGAATATTTTATTGATTAAAAACATCATGATCTACAGAGAAGAGTCAATTACCCATAAAATGAAAGTTTGAGGAATATTGCTGCCAATTTTATAAAGAAATAATTAGACCATGTAATAGACCAATAAAATATATAGGGGCCTCTAATAAAAATTAGACCTCATTTGAAAAAAAGCACTTTTCAGAAGAATAGCTGTGACATAGTTTTAAAGATCTCTATGGCTAAGAAAATTCTTCAAGAACTTTACTATGTGCTAAGAATGATTATTTTTCTTAAATTTTTGATCAGAAATTAAATAAAACAATTATTATAAGTTATTTTCACTAAACATAGAGATTTTTAAAAAGAATTCAAGTTTTCAAAAATGATTTGTAGGAATATTATATAAGTACACTAGAACAATAAACAATCATTGACAACTAAAATTAATACGTTAAAATTTAATTTAATTATGTTTAATGCTTTCTTACCTACTGCCAGAAGTATCCTGGATTGGATGATTAGCTATGGCTATAGCTGTCATTTTACCCAATAATTGTGACATGCTCCTGTTAGTCTGGGGTAAATGAGACAGCAGTGCCGACGTATGCAATGTGTCATGAGGAGTACACAATGAACCTTTGTAAAATAATACAAATAACCATCATAGTTCTTTTACAAGTGTGTTTAAAAACATATTCACATATAAAGTAGTTACTGGATAACACTCTGTAAAACTCTTATTTTTGCTTTGAACCAACTTATTCTGTGAGAACTACTAATATCCATTGGTCAATAGAAAACACTAATTATCCATGCTTATAAATTAAAATAGATTATCCTAGAATTAGATTGAGGCCAGGTATGTTATATAAAAATAATAACTTGTACCTATAGGACATTTTGCAGTTTACACAATTTACTTTCACATTCTTTGATTTGATTCTCACAATTAGGAGGCAGAATATGTTTGATTCATCTTCCTTTAGAAAAAGGGAAATTGACATGGAGTTTAAAAGACTTAGTCAAGCTGGATTTTAGCTTAGGCCTTTTTCCAAATTCATTGGTTATGTCTTCACAACACAATAATTTCTCATTGTTCCCTTAACAGTTAAATAGAGGAAGTTTTCAGAATTTCTAACACATAAGTTATAGTCTTTGAGTTTGTGATTGATGGTTTGATCATGCAGGCAGTAATTTCCCATTAGAACATGGCTGGGTAAAACTGCAATTAAGATTCTTTTTCTAGTCTCTTGAGATCCCCTAGGTGTCTCATTTCGTTAGTATATTTACAACTACCTAAAACAGTTACAACAATGGAATTTTGAGAGTGATGTGTCACTGGGATCGACATAAAAATATGTTTTCAAAGCTTGACATTTATAACATAATTTCTTTGATGACATTGGCATTATATTTAGAAATAAATTAAAGAATGGCACAATTCTTGTTATCAAGACCAATTATTATTTTAGAATGCACTGTCCTTCATTTACCCTTTCTCCATAATTAGTAGGGAAACTTGAATTACACCTGCAGGGCCAGCCCAGCCACGGTCTGCAGGACCAATCTGATCATCTGCAGAAGAGATTTAGCAATTTTTCAACAATCTGGAACTTGATTTTAAAATATTATTTCTAGTATCATAATGCCTTGCTTATGATTTGCCTTGAATTTAATAATGGAGATCTCATTATGTGGTTTTCACTTCATTTGCCTGTTCTGGATCTAGAGTGGCTTCTGGGGCGCCTGTGTGGCTCATTCAGTTGAGTATCTGACTCTTGATTTTGGCTCAGGTCTTGATCTCACAGTTCGTGGGTTAGAGCCCGCATCGGGCTCCATGTTGAGTGTGGTGCCTGCATGATATTCTCTCTCTCTCTCTCTCTCTCTCTCCCTCCACTGCTTGTACATATGCTCTCTCTCTCCCAAAATAAATAAATAAACATTAAGAAAAATTTGCTGTTTCTGTTGGCTTTTCTCCTTTGTAATCTAAGTTTTCAGAATTCCCTTGATTATTCAAGTTGCCCTACGAGTGGGTTATATGAAGTTATATGAAGTTCTATCTTTATTCATATATAGGAATAGAACTGATATGTGCTGGTGTGAAGTATGTGCAATGTAAATCATTTAAATGATGTAGATAATGGCATCAGTCTACATTTCAGTGATGAGAGCAGTAAAATTGTTCATCATCTGACTTGCTGTCTTACATGGCAGGCATTGTTCTACGTGCTTCACACAGAGCAGATAGTTTAGTATTCACAGTAACCTGACAGAGATAAGTGCTATTATTCTGAACTTACAAAAAAGAAAATGGAGGTTAAGTATACCAGCAATGTTACATTTCTAATAAGTTGCAGGGCTGTGATTTGGAGCCAAGCAGTCTGATTCAGAGTCAATGAATCTCTTAATCCCTATTCCATATAAATTATAACTTGAAAGCAGCTATTTCTTTTCTCTGTAAAATTTTTCCTCTCAGTAAGGATTGACATTAGCACCCAGTACCGTGGAGTCTAGTTGTGCCTACCATGTTCTATAGGTCACCTTTCCTAGGTGATCTTCCTTCAATCAGATTATTAATTCGTTCTTTAATTTATTAATTTTTATCTTTCCCTAACTGAAACTTACAATTAATCAGATCTACAATCTTTTAAAAAAAATACTGCTAAGTTTACATTTATTATATGACATTAAAAGTGTCACACTCCCTCTATCATGACAACCTAAATTAAACATAATGAAACCATGTTATAAACAAATTAGAAACTAATTCCTGTATTCATTCCAATTCAGGTTTAAGTATAAATTATGACTCTTTCACCTTTATTTCTGTGTTTAGACAACGCTGTTCTATAAATTTATGGGTATATTCTATCCTATTACACATGGAATAACTTTTCTACCATCTTTTCTTTTTTTCTGGCTTCTATCATGACTACCTTGAATGATGATTTATGAACATTGAAGAAATCTACACCATGCATATAGAAGTCATGTTCTCTCGATAGCATATCACTGCAATCTATAATTATTCATTATGACACCTTCATTATCCAAAATGATGTCTGTGGAGAATGTTGTGCTATGGATACTCAACATCTCCAGTCAATTTTGAAGGTCAGTATCCTTTGTTTTTGATAGAACAGTTTATAATAAGTATTAGAAAGTTTACTAAACATAATTTTCTCTTTTTTGATAACTAAGAATCAATAATGGTAGTGTCTTATATTATCCATGATGCTATGTTGTGATATCTTCAGAGACATTGAATAGCTCTGTGGTCAGCTTTTCATTTCATTCAAAGCCTCTGGTAATTTGATCTCCTTTAACAGAGATTTCTCCTTGGGACTCATTGAGATGTCTTCTGCCTTGCTCAGCATTGTGGTTTAGTCTCTCCAGGTCAAGAACCCCAACTGCCTTAATAGGATTCATCTTTCATTTTTTCTTCTTTATTGTATTCTCTTTTCTTTTCACTAATTTATATGTCCTTCTGTACCAAACATGAATTTGATAAACTTTGGGTTTGTGTGTATAACTCAACATTTAATAAAACTAGAATGATGAATAGGTTGTGAAGAAGTTTCAGGACTATGTGCTATATAGAATTACCAAGTAGAGATTTGACTGCTTCCCCTGCTGCTGGTAGCTCTTCTCATTTTACTCCAAAGAGCAACCAACCCAATGGGCCACTGCCTTGATTTGGAAGCTTTCTTGTTCATGACTCCAAACTACTAGTTTTGCTCTATAAGTATGGAGACAGCATAGTGCAGTGGTTAGATCCATAAGCTCTGGAGGAAAGTTTTCTTGAAGTTGAAGCTCAATTTTCCCACTCATTATATGGCTTCAGAAAAATGTTATTTGTCTCCGTTTCCTAAGTCTGTAAACTGGAAATGATAATTAGGATAATGTTAGCTAGTTTATATTGTTGCTGGGTTTAAAACAGTTTAACCATGGTAAGGAGTTAGAATCATCAGAGCAATTAGAGACTATATAGGTATTACGGATTATTTATAGTTCCACATTCATTCCTCATTCTCCTTTGCTATATTCTTTCTGTCCTTCATCTAAACGTTTATAGAGTTACATTGGTGGACTCTTGGTTTTTATTTGTACACTCTTCCCTAGGAGACTGCATTAAGTCTGATGAGTTTAAATGCCATCTATGTATTTATGACTCTCAATATTATTTTTTTTTAATTTTTATTTATTTCTAGGAGAGAGAGAGAGACAGCGTGAGCAGGGGAGGGTCAGAGAGAGAGGGAGATAGAGACTCTGAAACAGGCTCCAGGCTCTGAGCTGGCAGTCAACACAGAGCCCGACGCGGGGCTCGAACCCACAAACCACGAGATCATGACCCAAGCGAAAGTCGGTCTCTTAACCGACTAAGCCACTCAGGCGCCCCCCCTTTTTTTCCCTCAATATTATTTTTAATACTTGGTAACACAGTTTATGGCAATTGTTATCTTTTGTCTGTTCAAGGATCCTCTTCCATTTATACCCCATTCCCCCTCCCAACAATAGGCAATCATACAATTGTGTTTAATATGCATTTTTATATTTTGCAAAATGTTTATACACTTGTATTTCTAAATAAATTATATTAAGTTATACATCTCATTATTTCTTTCCCCCTTGTTTTTCTACTAAATACTATTCCTAAGTGCTAGGCTTATTGCTTTGTGGAAATCTAGTTTGTTACTTCTAATTGCTCCAGTGTGTGTATCTACCACTCGTATCTACCACATTTTAACTTACTTTTTTCTCCCCGTGAAGAACATTCACATTACCTCCAAGTCACTGAACTCTTGAGTAAACATGCAACCAACATGCATATGTATAACTCTATGGATCTCTGAAATAATTTATTTGGAATATTTAGGAGAATTTCTGAGACATTGCTTTGCAAATATAACTATATCATTTACATTCGCAAGATGAACATATGTAGTCAACAACATCTGGCAATATCCAACTTTTCAACTTTTGCCAGTCTAATAGTCATAAAGTGATATTTATTCTTAATTTACATTTTGTGGTTGTTAAAAGGTTTGAGGATTTCTACATATGCTTCTGTGATTTCTTTTAAGATATAATAAAAGTGTAAAAATAGAGAATTATCTATTAAGAAGAAGGACAGTGTTCTACCACTAAATATTTAATTATACTGGTGTAATATTAGTTGTAAAAATTCTGCAAGCTTATTAATATCAAAAAGTACTCATAAAAAGACCCCTTGCCATGGGCCTCAGTTACCAGTAAGAAAATGTGACTATTTTAATGAAAATGAATTCATGTCTAGTTGAGCACACTCAATAGTGCAGATGTGAAAGTATATTTTCCATCCAATATAACAAGTTAGATAATATTTGTTCCATTATAAAACACAAGTCATTTCCCCATAATTTTTTCATTATTGCTAATTACAAAAAGAGAAGAAAATCCTAAGCACTGTTCATCCTCACATCAAAATAATTAATGAGATTTTGGCAAGAGGAAAATAATAAAGGAAACTATGATCTGAAAGAAACTAAATGTCTTAAGTATTCACTGAAATGGAAAAAAGCAATATATAAAAGATAGTATTGGTCCTATAAATTCCCTTTTCACCTTCTTATCTTTGGTTCTGCACTAATTCTTATTTTCCACTAATTTCTTATTTTTCCAGTTTTATTTTCCAACTCTTAAATAGTTCTCATTCTGTGCAATGAGGTTTAGCATAAGAAAGATATATGAAATAAAATTAGCTTTCAATTTAGATTCAAGTATATAAACAAATCATTCAGTACTCTCTCAAGCCAAAAGACAATGAATTTTTTTCTTTATTAATTTTAAATCCCTAAGTTGTTTCATGGAAGCCTCATGACTTTATACATCACCCATGTGCTGAATAATCCCAAATTTCTGTGTCCAATCCCAATGGGTTCCCAGAACCTCATATTCATACATCCAGCTGCCAATTCTACCCATTCACTTTCATAAATAACTCACTTCCCAAACACAAGACATAAGCAAGAAATGTTGATTTCCCCCTTGCAACTATGAACACCCTTCAGTATTTGGCATTTTTGGAATCGACAGTATCATCACCAATTTGTCAGGCAAAAATTTCTAGAAGTCATTCTGGACTTTCCTCATTCTTTCACCCACTTCATCCAGTCTTTAGGAAGCCTATCCTCCAGTAGTGTATGTAGTGAGGGAGTGAATCATGCAAAGACACCAGGAAGAGCAAGTGCATGGCAAGCCTTATTTTGTTAGTGTCTTGTCTACCAATACAGTAAGTGTCAAACGATATGCAAACAATGTATAATTGTTGAGTGGATGGCTATTTGTTGATTAATCAAAATTTGGAAATATTTTCTTAGCTTATTTGAAACCAAGACTTTGAAGACTGCTTTGGTCTTGAGCAGACGCATCTTCAAAATAGTTTTAAGTTTGGTGATTAGTTTAGTTCTGGTTTAGACCAAATGAATACTGTCTAGTTATACTATCTAAATATACTTAGGCTTCTCATGACAAGAACTGCACATCGCTCATCCTACTCTGTACTAAAGGAAATAACACTAACATGTTATATGTTCAGTGGTGGTTATTGAATAAATTAATAGACCAATGAATTATACTAGGTTTATTTAAATTTTTTAATATTTATTCACTTTTGAGAGATGGAGAGAGACTGAGAATTAGCAGGAGAGGGGCAGAGAGAGAGGGAGACATAGAATCTAATGCAGGCTCCAGGCTTTTTGCTGTCAGCACAGAGCCCGACGAGGTGGCTTGTGACCTGAGCTGAAGATAGACGCCCAACCAACTGAGCCACCCAGGAGCCCCTACACTGAGTTTGTTTAAAGGCTTTGTTCACAATTACACTTTTGTTTAAATTATACTTTTATTCGGATATGTAATTATAATAAATAGAATCAGGGAATTATAGAACACAAAAGAATCTTAGGACTACATGATTCAACCTCCTTACTGTAGGGATAACAAAACAGAGTTTCACAGAATGTGTCTCTTTTTAAGTTTATTTATTTATTTTTGAGAGAGAAAGGGTCAGAGAGTGAGGGAGAGAATCCCAAGCTGACTCTGCTGTCGGTGCAGAGCCCTACTTGTGGCTCAATCCCAGGAACCATGGCATCATGATCTGAACCAAAATCAAGAGCCAGAGGCTTACCCAACTGAGCTACCCAGACTCCCTGGATCTGTTTCTTTCTCAAGTCTTCATTTTTAGCTATTGTCAGACCAGAGTAAAAGCGAAGCCTCCTAATTTCTAGAAAGGAGTTCTTGCCAATACTTTGTCAATTTTTCCCCCAAAGTTAAAAACAAAGATGTATGCATATTCAGGAATCTTTTCTGAATACCTCTGAATATTTTCTGAAAACAGAGATCAGTAGTAACATGTAAACTTTAGTGGGGGTGATTTGTTTGAAGATGTTAAGAGATGCTAATTGTCTGAAATTATTATTGCCTATATTCATTATATTGAAAATAAATGCAGAAGACAAAAATTGATATAAAATTGAGCATCTGGGAGGATAGTAATGGATGCTAAATAGCTGAAAAATGAATGAGTGCTTCCATGACCAAACTAATTCATTTTCATAGCATGCACTAAAAAATATAAAGTTAGCAATTAAAGAGAATGTCATACTGATACATAATAAAAGAGTTTAAATGGTTAAATGTGGGTAGCAGTTAGAATGTAGGAAATGTAGGATGTACCTTTTTGAATTTGTCATTGTTCTTCACACTATAGCTCTAGGAATGAGTAACAGGAAAAAGCCATAGTAGAGGACTGACTATAATGCACCTATAAAGGTTGTCTTCCTGTTAAACTTCTTCCAGAAGTGATTCTTTCCAGAACTGCATCTAATTTTTTCCTTTCAAAACAATGGTCCCAATATATACAGCACCACCCCTAGTGCTGAAGAAAAATAAAATAATTTTCAAGAATGCAATTCTTGAGACAGACATTGACCAATGCCTGTCCAAATAATGAAATCTAATCAGCATTAAGTGGGACTGTTGGACAATCATGGTGGTCCTGAATTTAAACCTAGAAAACTAAGATGTAAAAATGATTGGTTGCAAGTAAGGTAATAGAGATACAGTGACATTCTTTCTCATTTGCATTTTCCCTGAATGTGATCGTTTTCCCAGTCAGAGCAAGATTTAAAGCTGTTTGAAATGATGGAGGATTTGGATCATCATCTTACAAGTATAAAATGAAAAAATATATTAATAGCATTCAGGCTTAGATACTTTATATAAGATTTTGCTGTAAAGCAATATGGTTGAAATATAGGCTAAGAGAAATCAAAGATTTTCTAAGTTGCTTTAAAGAATAAGAATCAGGGCAGGAGAAGTCAAATAACATGTGTAATAGATACAGATGACAGATATATAGAGAAATTATGCACTTTTGGTGTTTAAAGTTGTTTGAAAGTTAAACATAAAGTGCAACTCTTCTGTTTCTAGTGCATTGTTGGGAAAAGAGTTGGGAATAGAAGCATGGGGTTGATCTCCCTTTCTGGTCTTCAGCTATATGAGAGGACGATATGCTAGACAAGTTAAGGATAACCTGGAAATAAAGAGTTCTTGTTCATGTTTGCATGTAGATTCTACAATGAGTATACCTCACAAACTGCTCTTACCCCAATGTGGGACAGGGCCTATGCCAAAGCCAACAAAGGAATACAGCATGCTTGGAGAGAAATAAAACTAAAATTTCACTTTTCAGGCCCCAAGTGGGGTTTGGAGAGAGAGAACCTAAATTGAATTGGTGAATTTGCCTTGGGGTCCATGTAGCAAGGCATACAGTAAATCTGTCGCAGAGGCTTGGAAAACCAACTAAAGCAAAAGTTCAGTGCACAACATACCAAATTCTCAAATGGTCTAAACTGCTATCAAGGCTCATGGTGAAACAAATTGCACAATAATGCCCACTATGCTTAACAGTTGTGAGCAATTCTCCATGGACTATCTACATGTCTTATAATAGGTTTTTTCCAGGATGCTTGCACAGCAAACAGCTTTGGATGCTAGAGATAGTGTCTCTCTTTCGTGGCAGAGAGTAAATTTATTTCTAACCAGGATAATAAAGATAGAGAATGTCTCCCTGCTTCCTTTGATTATATTCCAAAGTTACCAAAATATCTCCCTTTGGAGGCGAGTACAAGTTGCTGGCAATCCTCCTACAAGACTGGAGATTTTCTGATCTCAGAGATCCTCAGTTACGAAGCAGATTCC